CCTTCCTCCCTTCCTCCCTCCCTCCCTCCCTCCCTCCCTTCCTTCCTTCCTTCTTCTTCTTGACTAAAACTCACTCATGCTTGAAGACTCATTTCAAGGATCACTTCCTTCAGAACTCCTCCCTGAATCCCCAAGCTGGCTCAGTGCCCTCCTCATGTTCCCACAGCATTCTGCCTGTACCTTTACTTCCTATAGTAAAAGTGCCTATCCATGCAGCTGTCCACCCCTGCTGGATTGTACCGTTGAGGGCAAAGCCTGTGTCTTACTTTTCATTTTGCCCATCGATGTCTAGTACCTAGCCTGGCAAACCATTGGCTTTTGTGAATTTTGTCAAACTGAACTGATGGGAAGGAGAATATTCAGGTGGGAGACTGCATCAGGCAGCCAGGACACCCCAGTAAGCCTGGAGACGAGGCAGCTCTACCAAATGGTTAGTCTCTCCTGTCAGGGTGGATGGGTTAGTCATATTGCTTCTAAATCAACAGGAAACTGGAAGCTGACACAGGGCCATGGACATTCTACAATAAAGTGGGACATCTTAGTAAAATGGAGTGGTTAAAACCATAAATTTTGTATCATCTGCATGTGAGTTCTGGCTCTCCTACTTCCTTGCTTTATACTTTGATTAAATGACTTAATTAAGACTTAGTTTCCCAAAATGCAAAACAGGAATAAAAATAGTATTAATTTCATAGTATCAATATGAAAATTAAGTGAGGAAGTATTTAGCATTATGCAGACACTAAGCACTTATATGTGTTAGTGACTATTATTAATATCTTCATTATTTGGTGTGGTATTGGGGTTCTCAAGCTGAGTCATATCCCTGAGTATGCCTTAGGGCTGATTAAGAACCACAGAAGATCATGCGGGTCTCTAAGGAGCTGGGGTAGATCCCCAGTAGGTTGGGATCTGCCTCAGTTGTGTCTGGGGCTGGGGTAACAGCACAGAAAAGTGACCATTGGCTGGGTCATCAGCAGTGTCCACTCTCACCCTAACATCTCAGTTAGAAACCATTGTCTGGCAGGGCCAGAAGGAACACCTGGGAATTCAAAGGCCATTTTCCACCTTCAATTCCAAGAACTTAGGCACTTCCTAGCCACCTTCGTCCCTTGTTTTCTTTCCTCTTTTCCTTCAGTTCGTTTGTTTTCTCTGTGTCTTTCTAAAGTGGCCCCCGATTCTGACCACACAACAGCATATTCCCCACAAAAACCTGTTGTCACGGGTGTCTGCAAGACCTAGGAGAGCAAAGACCTAATTCTTCTGCTGGGTAAGATAAGTGAGTGTCCTTGTCCTCTGTTGATCAGGACAACTCTACTACCGACATGTTCCATGTCCATTGACTTCAGAAAGCCAGCCCTCTCCCCTAACCTGTGGATAGTGCACCCCCTTCAGGTTGACTGTCACACGCAGCTGCCACCTCCTGTCACCATGTTGGCTCTTGATCAAAGAGCTGCTCCAGCTGTGCCCACCTTGTGTGTCCTACTGCATGGGGCTTATCAGAATCCACAAAATGGAGGGTTTTCAGAGGTCAAGGCAAGGTGCCAAGATCCTTCTCTGTCCACATTTCTCTGGAATGGGTGAGTGCCAAACCTGTGAAGGGGGGGGTTCTCTGTGTACATTGCAGATTGTGAGAGACTTTTCAACCTTTGAACATGGATACTGAAGATCTTCAGCTGCCCCACTCTTCTGCCTTCAACCTTATCACCTCTTCTTTTCTGAGTGAGATCAAAGCCCCGAGCACCTACTGTGATGACCCCCAGTACTTCGACTAAGGGGAATATGGGCCTCAGCACTTGGCTGCTGATCTGGGGAATATGAAACCAAGTTAATCCGTGGAGATCTTCGGAAGGGAGGCCTTCATGCTTACAGTATGCACCAGGGTGTACCATGTGCTGAAGGGAATTTCTCTTTGAGTACTAGCCTTGGTGATTTCAAGAGGTCATACATAGCCTCTAAAATCTAGGCAGGACTTGTCTATGAGATCTCTCTCTTTTTTTCTGAAGCAAATGGCTGTAATTTGGATCATAAAGTGGCTTTAAAGAAGGCTGATGTCTGAGTGTATTGGTCAGCTCAGGCGGCCATAACAATGCCATAGACTGGGTAGCTTAAGCAATAGAAATTTATTTTCTCACAGTTCTGGAGACTGGAATGTCCGAGATCAAGGTGCTGGCCAATTCATTTTCTGGTGAGAGCTCTTTTCCTCCCTTGCCAATGGCCACTTTCTGACCATGTGGTGGGGACACAGTGCCTTCTCTCTTCCTCTTCTTATAAAGCCATCAATCCTATCAGAGTAGGACCCACTCTTATACCCTCATTTAACTTTAATTATCTCCTAAAAGCCCTATCTCCCAATATAGTCGCACCGGGGCCTAAGGGTTCAACAGATGAACTGGGGGGAGGGGACACAATTCAGTTGATAGTACTGAAGAAGCTTCCGTAGTGGCTACCTTTATTTATTCCAAAAACATACATTTACTGAGCACTTACTAATTGACTACTTAGGATACCACGATAAACAGAATAAACATAGTCTTTGCCTTGATTTCATTCATAGTTTAATGGCTGAGCTAGACATTAATTATATAATTCCACAAATAAACATGTAATTTCAAAGTTTTAAAAATGCCATGAAGGAAAATTAGAGTGTGATGAGAGGACATAACAGAGAAAGTTGACCATCTTAAGGAGTGAGGATAATTTTTTCTGGGACAGTGACACTTAAGCTGAGATCTAAAGCATTGTTAAGAGAGTGGGTACCAATAAGAAAGAGTCATTTCAGGCATATGTGGATGGTGTCACGTGCAAAGGTCCTGAGGTGGAAAATAACTTGGTTATTTCCAGGGCCTGATATGAAGGCCATTGTTGCTGAAATGTGGTAAGAGGGAGAGAGGCAGAAGATAAAAGGAGAGAGGAGGACAAAGGTAGCTTATATGAAACTTTGTAGGTCACCGTAAAGAGTCTTTATATTAAGAATAAGAGGAATCGGGGCACCTGGGTGGCTCAGTTCATTAAGCATCTGCCTTCGGCTTGGGTCATGATCCCAGGGTCCTGGGATGAGCCCCGCATAGCATCGGGCTCCTTGTTCAGTGGGGAGCCTGCTTCTCCCTCTCCCTCTGCCTGCCCCTCCACCTGCTTGTACTCTTTCTGTGCCAAATAAATAAATAAAATCTTAAAAAAAAAAAAAAGAATAAGAGGAATCTACTGAAGGGCTTTAAATAAGGAAGTGATAGTGTAGGTTTGGGGTTTTTGGAAAAGGTGACTGTTGCTGTATAAGGAAATGGAGTGGGGAAGCGCAAGAATTGGAGTGGGGAGTTCAGTGAGGAGGTCACTGCTGTAGATTCATGAAGTGAGGTGTAATGGCGGCTTTGACAGCGCTGGTAGAGGTGGGGGGAGGGTCTAGGCGTCGGTGCTGGATAGACAAGGGACAGGGGCCCGAGGAAAGCCTGCAGGTGACCACCCGTTGCCGAGCATGAGTAACCTAGTGGATGGAGGTGCCATTTTCTGAGATGGGAAGCAGTGCAGACAGGGGACAGGACCTGGAACCCTGTAAGGTGCTGTATGGATGAAATTAGTGTTCTTCTGTTACTGAAGGGACCCCACCGGGCTGTAGCAGAGATGGGAAATGGGCAAATAGCTTTTTGTTTTTCAAAGCTATGGCATGGTTATTTGCATTCTCGTTGCATCTGAATGAGGCAGTGAGTGGAAAGTTGAATCCATAGCTACTGCTGAATTTCTTCCCATTCTCCTGAATTCATGCTCACCTCTTTGTGGTTCAAGGCCAGCAGATGGGGCTGCATTTCACCCCCAAATCTTGTCTACAGTTAAAAAAAATGTATTCGAGAGCCACTTGCCATGTTTTATTAATAGTGATTTCTATCACTTGGCCCTTTCAGCGTCTGGGTTTGGAATTTGAGTGGCTGGCTGATTTTCATCTCCCTGTAACTGAATGTCTCAATTGTCCCGTAAGCACGTTTTGCTGGAGGGCTGAGGCGGCCATGGACTGGGGCTGGAGCACAGCTTATAGGGGCCTCAGTTTAGCAATCCTCCAGGAGGCATCCACTGCACTGTCCACCCTCTTGATTTCCCTAGAAATGTCAGAATTACAGCTTGCCTGTAGAAGTTTTGTGTTTGGGGAAGGAGTTTTTCCCAGGTGGGCTCAATTGCATGCAGAGCAATGTATTCTATTTTGGGGGAGTAGCCCATGAGAAAAGTTCAACTCCCATCTGTACTCTTGCACGCGTATGTGCAGAATTCTTGAGTATGAAAACAGTGGGGGTAAAGAAACCTGAAAACCCTAGAAACACTACAAGGGATGAAGATTCAAGTCATGCTTGGCCTATTTTCCGTTGATTCTTGAGAACTCTCACAGATAACAGCAGGGTTTGGAGACAGGACTGGAAGGGCATCACTTATGTTTTCATTACCAATATTCCCAGCTCTTTTAAGCCATTCTTCAGCCGAGTCTCCACCAGATGGTCCTGCGGACAGAGCCGCTAGTTGTGCCTCCCATTGACATCTTTTTTTCCAAGTGAGAGACTGCCCCATATGTTAGTGCAATATGTCGCTCAAGGTGAAACATCAATTTGTATTGGTGGGAACCTGCCATTTGCTGTCCCCCTTTTTCTCATGCCTTTCCCTGCCTCTCTGGTCTTTTCTAGGTCTCTGGCCTGTCAGGAGGACCATTGGTGCTGCAGTGGAAGCCAGCGGCTAAATCTCGTGTATGGCGTGGTTAAGGTTGCAGCCTCTCACCTCTGCCTTCCTCCATTTTGGGCTGATTACTTTTGTGCTCTTCCTGAATGGTCTTCGGGCAGAGGCTGGTGGCTCAGGGGAGGTGCCCAGCACAGGGCAGAACAATGAGTCCTGCTCAGAGTCATCGGACTGCAAGGAGGGTGTCATCCTACCAATCTGGTATCCAGAGAACCCTTCCCTTGGGGACAAGATTGCCAGGGTCATTGTCTATTTTGTGGCCCTGATATACATGTTCCTTGGGGTGTCCATCATTGCTGACCGCTTTATGGCATCTATTGAAGTCATTACTTCTCAAGAGAGAGAGGTGACTATCAAAAAGCCCAATGGAGAGACCAGCACAACGACGATTCGGATCTGGAACGAAACTGTCTCCAACCTGACCCTGATGGCTTTGGGTTCCTCTGCTCCTGAGATCCTTCTCTCTTTAATTGAGGTGTGTGGTCATGGGTTCATTGCTGGTGATCTGGGACCTTCTACCATCGTAGGTAGTGCAGCCTTTAACATGTTCATCATCATTGGCATCTGTGTCTACGTGATCCCCGATGGAGAGACTCGCAAGATCAAGCACCTACGAGTCTTCCTCATCACTGCTGCTTGGAGCATCTTTGCTTACATCTGGCTCTATATGATCCTGGCAGTCTTCTCCCCTGGTGTGGTTCAGGTTTGGGAAGGCCTTCTCACTCTCTCCTTCTTTCCAGTGTGTGTCCTTCTGGCCTGGGTGGCAGATAGGCGACTGCTCTTTTACAAATACATGCACAAAAAGTACCGCACAGACAAACACCGAGCGATTATCATAGAGACAGAGGGCGACCACCCCAAGGGCATTGAGATGGATGGGAAAATGATGAATTCCCACTTCCTGGATGGGAACCTGGTGCCCCTGGAAGGGAAGGAAGTAGATGAGTCCCGCAGGGAGATGATCCGGATTCTCAAGGATCTGAAGCAAAAACACCCAGAGAAGGACTTAGATCAACTAGTAGAGATGGCCAATTACTATGCTCTTTCCCATCAACAGAAGAGTCGTGCCTTCTACCGGATCCAGGCTACCCGTATGATGACCGGCGCAGGCAATATCCTGAAGAAGCATGCAGCGGAACAAGCCAAAAAGGCCTCCAGCATAAACGAGGTGCACACCAATGAGCCTGAGGACTTTGTCTCAAAGGTCTTCTTTGACCCGTGCTCTTACCAGTGCCTGGAGAACTGCGGGGCTGTACTCCTGACAGTGGTGAGGAAAGGGGGGGACATGTCCAAGACCGTGTATGTGGACTACAAAACAGAGGATGGTTCTGCCAATGCAGGGGCTGACTATGAATTCACAGAGGGCACTGTGGTTCTGAAGCCAGGAGAGACCCAGAAGGAGTTCTCGGTGGGCATCATCGATGATGATATTTTTGAGGAGGATGAACACTTCTTTGTGAGGCTGAGCAACGTCCGCATAGAGGAGGGGCAGCCAGAGGAGGGGATGCCTCCAATAGTACTCAATAATCTTCCATTGCCTCGGGCCATCCTGGTATCCCCTTATGTGGCCACAGTCACCATCTTGGATGATGACCATGCAGGCATCTTCACTTTTGAATGTGACACTATTCATGTCAGCGAGAGTATTGGTGTCCTGGAGGTCAAGGTTCTGCGGACATCAGGTGCCCGGGGCACAGTAATTGTCCCCTTTAGGACAGTAGAGGGGACAGCGAAGGGTGGTGGTGAGGATTTTGAAGACGCATATGGGGAGCTGGAATTCAAGAATGATGAAACAGTGTAAGTAACCTTTCCATATTCTATCTCCCTCCATCCCTTGCCATCTCTTTCTGTCCTTACAATTCTTCCTCATACCTCGTTAATGTCAAACTTGGGTCCCCGCACAGGTGTACAGGCTCAGCAGGCACCCCCTGGCAGGTTCCGCTTCCAAACCTCCCTTCCGTTTTCTCACTTTAAATGGTCTCTGGGCAGGGAATCCTGTGGCAGGATCTAAGGACACAGAACATTCTGTCCACTGGAACTCAAAATGATGGCTGGTGGAAGTGTGGGGTGGCAGAAGATTTGATGTCAGATTTTGGAGAATTCTTGTGCCTAAGCAGGGACTAGGAGACTGGTTGGGTCTCTCCTTCCTCCTCGCCTCATGCCAAAGGCTCATAGGAGCCTCGAGGCTGATCCTTTCCATCCTGAGGTAGTGCGAGCCCAATCAGGGCAACCTCGGGGAAGAAGGTGGCATTGGCTTTTTCTCCCCCGGGGCCATATTGCGGTTGTAATTTATAACCAGATTTCAGGCATCTCTCCTTCAATTTGGAAACTGCAAGCTTGGTTGAAACTTGGCAATCTCTGTAAATGCCTGTAGGCTATTTTGTGGTATGAGACTTGCCCAGGCTAGGTGAGATGAGTCAGTGTAGCTTGGGTACTGGAGGCATCTTGCAAAAGCAGAACTCCCAGAGCAGTGGCCACCTGTCTTTGGTCCCAGGTGTGAGCTCCAAAATCTGGCGCCTCTTAGGAATCGCGGGAGAAAATACGTCTTCGTTGTGGTCATCTCTTTTCACGGTCTAGAATTTTCCTAGAATACTTCTCAGGTTAGTGGCCCATTTAGCCCTTCAGACGTGGTGGGTATTGCACTTCCATGACCTTGATCACTGTAAGGGCTCTCCCCATTGAACCTTCTTGTACTAGGTGTTCTGGGGTTTGTTTTGGTTTGGTTTGGTTTGGTTTTTCTCAGATGGATAGCTTTGAAGGAGAAACAGAATGACTTTCCCCAGGATTTGCAGCTTATGGGAGGCCAGACTTTCCAGGGTGGCCGAGGAGGGGGAAACTTGTCTCTGAATTCCTGCTCATGTCCACAAGCAAAAAGCAGTAGCAGGAGGGGGAAAGAAGGACAAAGGGGGCATCTAGGAAGGGGGGATGCCAAACTGCTCCAAGACCCTCCTAAGGACACTTTGAGTGGGAAGTGAAAACATGTAACATGTAGGAGAGTGAAGGACGGAGCGTACGGAGAGGGGAGCCCATAGGACCGAGGGAGAGGGGTCATAGAAGCGCTTCCTCCAGGCCCAGGCAAGGCACAGGGCTCCAAAGGGGTTGGATGGTGCTGCCCACAGAGCTGAGTGAGCCACCCAGAGGACTAGGCTCTTGTGCTCCCTCAATGCCTCCCTAATAATGTGACTCTGGGCAAGACTTTCGGTCTCGGCTCGAGAATTAAACTATCTCATCTGCAAAGTGGGAACAACCATACTTTCCTTGCCTGGAGGCAGGGCCGGATCTTTTTGCAGTTCCTCCCCTATCTCGGATTTTCTGAACTGTAGACATGGGCACTCAGCCGTAGGTCTTATTTGCACTAGCCGAAGATGGAACAAGGATATTGTCTCCTGAAGTGAAATAGCCATTGACAAATTGATTTACTAGAGCTCTGTTTAGTCATTTCGCTGGGAGGGATAATCATTAGTTAGCCCAGGTAAAAACCTGTGTCTTCTAGAGAATACTGCCCATTTCTATGTGCTCTGGAGAGAGGGTTTATACATACAAAGGAAAGACAGGCCCTCATTGGGAAGACAAACTCCGTGCAACTTCTCATGTTTATGGCAACGTCAGTATGTTAAGAGGTTATTATTGTGCATAAGTGACATCAGGACTACAACATTGGCTGTGATTTGGCGGGCTAGTGGTTTCTCCAATTCAGTACTACCAAAGGCACTGAAGAGTCATTTTGGACAGATCAGAGGCTTGGCACCCAATTTCTTTGTCCCATTAACAATCAGTTGTGCACTTTAGATCTCTGAGTATGACTAACCCTTCCTCAAACCTATTTGTGTTTTCAGCTTGAATAATATCTTGGGGTAAATGGGCTTATGAATGATCACTTCTGATACTGGTTTTAAATGTAGCGCAAGCTCCACACGTTTGCAATTCGGGTCCAGCAATTCCAGGGTTTGGGTAACAAGCTATGTTGCCACCTCTTCCTTCGCGTTATATTTTAGACTTCAGTAGACTTGAGACTACCTTTTTGGTTTTCTTCATCGCAGAAGAAGGAGTCCATAACCTGCTAGTAGTCTGTCTTCACATCACAGCCCTACCCTTGAGACTTTAGATTTTAATTTTACAACGAGAGGCAATGTGATGTAGCAGAAAAAGCATGGGCTGTAAGTACTCTGGGTTAAGATTCTGGCTGTAGTCTGATTTAACCAGGTAGTCGGGGGAAATTTTATTAATTTATGAGATTATTTTCTCATTAGTAGAGTGGGGATAATAATATTTCTCTTGCAAGGCTGTCATGATGATTCAAGATACTGTATGCAGTGTTGTTCGTATATGGTATGTGCTTAGTAAATGAGGCCATTAATAATAATATCAATGAATTAATATTCTTCAGAAGACACTGTTGAGGTGATTGGGTTACTTGGATCTCTATGTGACCCTAATTAATAAACATGCTATTTTTGGGGTTACCATGAAGATTCCTAATCCAAACTCCTAAAATATGAGAGCCAGAAAAGACCTTAGAATATCTTTTAGAGGAGTGTTTCTCGAATTTTAACGTGCTTCTGAACCATCCAGGAAGCTTCTAAAACTCAGATTACAATTTGAAAGGTCAAGAGTAGGGCCCGAGATTCTGCATTTCTAACAAGCTCCTGATGCTGTTGGTCCCAGCTTAGAGTTGAAATGCTCTAAAACTCTTGGCCAAACCATGAGACCTGGGAAGGAAAGCGGCTTTTCAAATGACTTGCTTAACTGAATCAAGAAGGCTTGCTTTCCAGTTCTAGCTTGCGACTCCAACTGAGCTAGAATCCAGCTCCTACGCTGAGAGCTTGCTAGTTGTAGCACCAACCTGGAAACTGAAATTGAAACCCTCAGGGTACCTACACAGAAGCTGGGTGAGGCTCCTGGAGCAGTTCCACCTTCCAATCCTTCCCTCTCTGTGTAACTTGCTTTGCCTACCAAGCCCGGGAGCATTGGCAATGTTGCCCTCAGTATACTCTTCTCAAAACCAATTCAGGTTGAAGCCAGGCCTATGCTCTGCCAATACTATTGGGCTGTGAATTCACTCGTTTGGATTTATGCTTTACTTCTTCAAAGATGTCCTTTCGCACCACGGTAGGATAGAAAACCGTGAACTTTGAAGTCTGACAAACAGATGTGAATCTGTCACTCACCAACTGGGTAACTTGAACAAGTCATTTCACCTGTCCAAACCCCAGATATTCTCTTGGAATGGCAGGAATAGTGATATCTCTCCTGCAGGAGCATGATAAATACTACATACAAATATGAAGAAAATGCACCTTTGCAAGGTGCCTGCTCATCGAAGGTGCTCATTCAACAAACATTTATTAAATGTCTGCTACATACCAGGTACATTACTAGGGACTGCAGATAAATACATGAATAGGACAGGATGGCATTTCAGCTCTCAAGGATCTTCTCCAGTGAAGAGGATACTAGGTATGCAGACAAATCAAAACACCTGGGAGAAGTGCTCTGGTTGAGATAAGCTCGATAAAAGAGAAATGAAAGCTCTCTGCTGTGTGTGTGACACCACTGAAGTTTCTAAAGCAACCTTTACTGAGGACATGGTAGTGAAGCAGACAGAGCGGGGGTGGGTACATGATGCCCTTAATCTCACATTACAATAAATGCTTGACATTTGAGAGAGATCCTATTGACATCATGATCTAGAAGAATACCCACCTCTGTGACTACCACTACAGTACATCCTTAGAATTATGGCCTTTGAGCCTCCTGCAAACAGTAGCAAAACCTCGTGGAGATATACAGGCGTGCTGTCGGCACATTAATCTCACTCTCTAAACCCGCGTCTGCTCCGTGTCCTAGGCTCATGGCGCATTTCTGCAAAATAACAGAATATTGCAGTTCATGGACCTTTGGGGTCTCTGAGAATAGTCAGAATCACCGATGTCAAATAGGCAAAGGCCAAGATCTACTATAATTAAATGGCATAGGCCTCCTTCGAAAGAGAACGGAATATTAGCTGTGCCTCATGTTAAAGCCCGAAAGTATCTGACCTCCCACTTTTATAAATTATGAAGCTGAGATTCAGAGAGGGAAAGTGACTTGTCCAGTATCACACAGCAGCTAGATAGGATAGAAAGTTAGAGCTGGCGAGGTTTTTTTAGAGCCTACTGATTTGATGTCTCCCCCTCCCAGTTTGGACTTTCTTATTTTTATCCATCGGAACAATATTAACTTCAGAAAGCATATAGAAATTCTCAGGTGAAAGATGCTTGGGAAGTACAAATCCAACAGTATCACGTGACTAATATCTTAACTTAGAATAATAACATATTATGGACTATTTTTAATCTCTTGGTTCATCTTGAGACTGTTCAGGAAGAAAAATATCGAGTCCATAGAAATTAAAAAAAAAAAGACTATCTTTGCGATCTCTTCCTGAGAAAAGGTGTAACAAGCATAGATGGGATATCTTTTAGGCAGTGCTGGTAAATTGTAGACAAGACCTTGTTCCATGAAATAATGACATTCTTTCGAAATTCTGCAGGCCATTCTCTTCCAGGTGTGCTTTCTCTGTAAGATTTTCACCCCAGGGAATCTTTCCATCAAAATATGGAGTACTCCAGGACATAATTTGCACCTTCTCCAATTTAACTAAAACACAGTAGACCTTTTCTTTTTCTTTGGCTCAGCTGGGTGTTCAGATAGTTTCTTCCCTTGCCATTAGGGAGATTATTTGCCCCTAGAATGCCCTTCTTGTGCTTGAGAAAAGTCACATGCTGCAAGGTTAGTGAGGGTAGGAGTAGGGTGGA